TAAAATAAATTCACTGAAATTTTTTTTCCATGGAATTAGTAGAAAACAATTTTCAATTTTGATATATGCTTTAGCGGTAATTAATGTTATCTTGTGAGTTAGATTACTTAATTTTATAATTAATACATGATTAAACAATAGTTATAAGTTAATAAGATGCATAAATATGCACACGATATTAATACATAACGAAAAGCTATACAAAGGAAAATTCCTCATTAAATTTTGCTCTTGCTAACTCTACTTGGTCTTTCTTCCTTTTCTATGTACAGAATGAACAATATCTCTAACAAACTTTCTTTCCCTCTACTTTCCCACTAAACAAACACAACCTACTGCACTAAAACCTAAATTTGAGAAAATGGAGGAATCATACTGCCCTTTCTTATAGATCATACAGCCATCAGCCAATCAGCTCGGGCTCAGACTCAGTTTACCTCCGGTATACTCTGCAGTGCGGGCCTCCATGACCGTTGATTCGTATGATCACACCGATCGGCGACGTTTATCAACTCTTCCAAAACTTGTTCCACCGACAGCTCCTTCAGGTCCACCCTACTTAACAACTTCTCCAACTGCTTCTTCGTTATCTTCACCTTCACCTCCGTTGTCGTTGCTGTTCCTTTTCTCATATCCTCCATTTCCATCGTCGCCTTCTTCTGATCGCCGGTGGCGCCACGTTTCGCCTCGCCACCGAAAAATTCATCTCGCGGCGGTGACCCCCAGTCGTCGCCGGCCCATTGTGTTCCCGATTCGTGTCGCAAACAGTTCCCCATTTTTTTCCTTTTAATGCTTTTGATTTTCCTCTTAGGGTTTTTAAGCTGGAGGCAGACGGAGCAGAGAGCAGGGATGGGTAGGAGCGTTATGAGTTTTTATATATACGCAGGGGAGGGAAGATGGTAGGAAGAGGAGAAAGAGTCAAAAGGGTTAAACCTAACAAGTTGCCACGTAGGATGGATGTCGTCTGACGTGGCATTAGTGGTGGCGGGCAAAGTGAAAATTTCAACTGAATCCCATGCGGCGACAAAATTTCTAGCTGAAAACTGTCGGTTAAATCGGCTCGGCTTAGTTGTACTAGACAAAGCAAGGTATGAAACTGTTGGGTGGAGCCAAGCCGATGAAAAAACGGCTGAAAAGCCAAAAGTAAAGGTAGGATTAGATCAAGGCGCGGTAGGTGTGAACGGGGGTTTGGGACGGAATCTTACACCAGTAAAGCAGGTGTGAACCCAAAGAAAAAAAAAGAATCTGCGGAGTAGACATGTGCGAAGTAGCACTGTCACGTGTGGGATTGGAGATGATAATCACACACTAAACCATGCTTAATTAGGCACTCTATCATCATAACCCACTAATTATAATTAATTGTTTATCCAAACGGTCAAGAAATATTCTTTTCACATTTACGTATAAATTTTCCATAATTCTCACTAAAATAATTAGCCACTGTTTTTTTTTTTTTAGAATTAATTAATTTTACTCATTACAAATTTATTGTAATTGAATCAAATTTGGAATTTAATTTGATATAGTAATCAAAATTGGAAGACTTTTCTTACAAGGAAATTGCTTTGTAAATGATGAGCATAAATAAAAGTTTTGATTAAATTAAAATAGATTAATTTCCCCTAATAAGCAAATAATTAAATATTAATTATAAAAGTATGGTCTTAATAAAAGAAAAGTAATTGGGAGGGTAAATATAATTGTTGGTTGGTGGGTCTAAGTTGGCACCTAACTCCATTCACCATGTCCGTGAAACCCCACATTCCCCACATGCCATATGATCTCACTTAATCATTAGGACTTTTTTTTTATTTTTTATTAAATATTTGTTTACAAATTTAACTTTTATTTTTAAAAAATGATAAATTAATAATTTATTATAATTAAAATATTAAAATAATAAGTATTTACCTTCCATTATTAATTCTCTATATATAATGTTCTTCATTTTTCATACCCAACTCAAATTAAACACATTTTAGTTGTGTATGTATATATATACATAATATATATGTATGTATGTTGTGTATATATGTGAGAGTACGTGTATAAAACTTGCAAAATTTTCTCCCAAATGCCAGTTACCATTTTAAAATTGTTTTATCCTCATGGTTTTGACTTAATTACGAAGTTGACTTCATCCATACACATATATAAACCGGATAGGATATTGTAACCGATACAATCATTAGGAGCAGACGTAGACCAATTAGAAAGGTATCTATACATATACGTACATACACACACATATGTATAGATATACGACAATTTATTAATCAGTTTGACTGATTCGGTCTAAGCCTATAACTTGATTGATTGAGTTCGATCAATTTTATCAACCCGTCAAGATTAAGTTGATTTTATCAAATTGGTACGTTTGATTTAATTCAAACCAACCGGTCCAATCAGAATTGAGAAGCCAAATTCTAAGAGTTTGACATAGTTAAAATTTTAATAACTATTATATTATTGAATCCAATTTATGTTGTCGTATGGCATAATGATTTTTTTTTTTAGTGATATTTTTAATTATATATATATATATAATGTGTATATATAATAAAAATCATGTTTTTTTTTTCCAATTTGAAATACCCAATATTATTTTTTTAAAAGAAAACACTAGTTCAATATTTTAATCCAAAATTAATCTTAATACATATTAATAAAGTATGCCTTTCGTTTTAAAATTGATAATTAATTGATTAATATTTTATAAATTATTTAACCTATCTTAAATTGATTAATTAGTTTATATGCATGCATACATAAATATATACATATATATATATATATTATTTTCTAACAAGTAGTGCTTGACTAAAAGAGCAGTCGGCAGTACTTATCTATAAAGGTTGCTATATACATATATGTGTGTATATATAGATTCAATAATTTGTGAAGACAAAGGTTTGCCTTTTTATCCCAAGTGTGCTGCCATTGTTGCTTGTTATTTTGTACTCATATAGCCATAGGCTTATAATTTAGAATAAGACCAAAATCATAGTCATATATATTGGCTGCCTTAATTTAATTTTCAATTTCCTTTTCTTCCTCCACGTGTGTATATATATATATGTGTGTATGTAAATATGTATGCATTAGTATTTTTCTACTCGAAATAATAAAATAATTAGTTTAACTTTGAAATGATCACGTAATAATTATTTATTTAAAATTTTAATTATACATAGTTATCTAAAAACTGAATTTTATTTTTATATTTAAAATTTATAATTAAATTATTATTATATATTATTAACTTATTTAAAAATATGTAGTGCATGCACTATAATATTAAAAATTAAATTTTATTCCCATATTTTAAAATTTTAAATAAATAATTATTTCGTATGTAATTTTTCTGCTTAGATAATTAATAAAAAGATAAATTGTCACATTCACGAATTATTGATCTTATATTATATTTCTTAATTTTGAAATTTATGAATTTCACCCAAACAAAAAGTTGAAACTTTGAAAACGATGGTCATACTATATCAAAGGTGGTCTCGAACTCAATCATTATTATTTGTATATAAATTACTTATTCAATTAGATGTTGAATTATTGATTTCAAATGATACAAAATGTTACTTAAAAATAGGACTAGAAATAAAAATAATAATAATAATTATGTGTTTATCTTGTTATTTCCTAATGTCTATCATTACATATATGTATACATATAATGTACATATTATCATTCATGAAATTCCTAATATGTGGTCCTTGTTACATGTTCAAACCATACATAAAGTGTTTGGAGTGGGATAAGATGAAGTCATTAATTTTAATTTTTTTAATTAGTCATTTGAATTCAAATTACTAAGTCAAACAAAAAATATATATAATTATTTTAAAAGTTCACATTAGTATATATGTTTTTTTTCATTTACCATATTGTATTATATATTAATAGTGATATATTCAATAGGCGAAATTAAAACACATATCTTATTTTATGGTTTGAATAATCACATAATCAAACTTCATGGGTTATAATATTATATCAAATTTTTTGTTCAAGTAAAATTTAAAAATTTATTATATTAAATTATTGCATCTATATTTGTTATTATGTGTACGTATCATAAATATATTGATACCCTACAATTTCTTAATATAATTTATAAAATTAAATAATTCTTACAATTTAGTTTTCATTTTTTTTTAGTTATTATCAATATATCGATATCTTATATTTACTTACTTTAAATATTTAGTTTCATTCAAATTTTTAATTGAAATTGTTTGCATGCTTAAAAAACATATAATAATTTTAATTAATTAATTGAACTAATAAATTAATAGTAGTATTAGGTATTTTTTATTGTTATTAATTTATTAATTTAATTATATAATTAGTTAAAGACATTTTTGACTTATTTTTTTAAACATCCAAATATAATTTAATTATTTTGATTTTTTCTATTATGAAATTGAATAAATTAAATATTTTAAATAACTAAAAAATATAAATAATAAAATTGAAATTAATTTAATAAGAATAAATAGATTTGAACAAAACACAATTTAACGATAATTATAATTATAATAATAGGTATGAAATGTGGGTTCCATCAAATCGCACAATGTAAAAAATTTAATTTCATATGGCATCACATAGTGGGCCGAAACACAATCAATTTGGGGCCTTCAAATAGAAAAGCCCACGTTTTAATAGATAATTCCATAAATACCAGAATTTTGTGTGTGTTTGTCCGTAGCGTATCCCGCCCTAATCTTTAACCTAATATTCTAAAAAGCCCCTCTTAATTTACTTATTTACATTTATGCCCTCACCTAGAAATTATAGTCTAACTCGCCCACCACCTTCTCTCCTACTGCAAACCAACCTGCGTTAGCGTATCAAACCTTGCTCCTCTTTCACGCACTCAGCCTGCCAGGCCTTGCTCAGATACAGCGTCAACCAGACGCACCTTCGGTAAGCAGGTATTTCTGCTATTTTCTCCTTTACATTCGGGTTTCCATTCCAAACTGCACAGACCTTTCGTTTTTCACAAACTATGATCAAAGACAACGTGTTTCTTCTTTCTTCTATCTACTCCTATTTTCCTCTACTTTCCTTGGTGACAAAGCTTCCGGAATGTTGTTTCCTGCTGGTTTATTTTGTTTTTCTTTAATGGAGACTCCGGCTGACTTATTGTTATCGGATGAAGTAAGGCTTTGCTGTTTTGAGATTAAAATTTCAAGTGTCAATTATGCCGTACCGTTGCAAGTTTTCAGTGCGGAAGAGTGTTTTTGCAGAAGTTGCTGATTATGTTTTACAGGCGTAATGTAATTAGGATCTGAAACGAAATGGAAATCCCTGCGGCTTTAGATATCTCTCTTGATTTTTGATAGATCCCCCAAATCTCTTATGCAGTTTGTTCGTTGTATTTAATTAAATAATGCTTTATTTAAAAGTTCGGGTAAACAAGCGGGTACGGGCGGGTACCGGTGCTATTTTATGCCCGTAAAGCCATGGGACTGTACTGGTAAAACTGTGAAATCCACGAAATGGAATATATATGGGGCGGGTGACCCGCCCCGTGACCATTCCCGTGCCTTAAATGCCCCAGCTATCAAACAACAGAAGTTGTTGTGAGCCTGAGCTTCAAGGAATTATTTCTTTCTAGATACAGCAACAGCGCAAGCTCCATATATATATGTATGTGTATTATATGTGTCAGTGGGTCCTCGAACGTCATGCTTGTCTGATGCCCTTCTCAATTTCTTTTAGCTTAAATATTCTGGGTGCTATTTCTAGATCTAGAATAGAAACATATCTACATGCGTTTTCCGGTATTTGTGAGAATTCTCACTTTTAGTTTGTTCTCGTGGTCGTTTCTTGAATTTGGGTTTTGTTTTGTTTCCTTCTCATTCACTGGGAGGTGGGTTTTAATTGGTTGTTGGTGTAAGTTGTTATGTTTTATTTGAATTGTATTCGTTAGTTTGGTCGTGGAATCTGTTTGCCTCTGTAGACAGTTCTGGTTATTTAACAAGCAGCTCATGGCTTCTCTTTTCTTTTTGGGTATTAACTGTACTGACGGATTGAAATTGGCTAATTGTCCTGAACCTTATTGTATTTAATTGTTCCTTGTTTTTTCTTGTTTTGCAATTTGCCTCTTCCTCTTAATCACCGTTTTGGGTCCTTAGTGTTGGATTCTTGTTGCTTGGTAGGTGATTCCTTTTTACACATAAATGGAAGGTATTATTATCAGAAGGATTATTCCCTCGGACAACAGTTGTCTCTTCAATGCTGTTGGGTAAGTTTGGCATTCTTCAATGAAGTGGTTGGTGCTTATGTTTGGTGGTTTCTTTATGATTTCTTCCTTTTCAGGTATGTTATGGACCATGATAAGCAGAAAGCTTCTGAGTTGAGACAGGTTCTCATCTAGAACATTGAGTGTTTTCTGCCATTATTCATTTTTTAAGCCGTTAGCAAAGTTTTAAGTTTCTTTAAAAAAATATTGAAGTTATTGGTATATATGTTGAAAAGTTCAATTATGTGAAGGATGATGTCAAATTGTGTTTCAAGATTCTTCGCAGTTTTAATGTCGAATTGTGTTTCAAGAGTGTTTCCAGTTTTGATAAGATCCTTTGCATAAAAGATCAATTTGAACGAAGAATTTCAGTAAATAGAAAATGAGATAGGTACGTTGATGTAGGACAAATTAGGGTTAATTTGCCTATTAAGAAAGCGGTAGATATTACACCTAGGGTTCTTAGACATCACACCTAAGAGTTGATTAAGTTACAAAATTAATTATGAGTTCTCAAAATTAATATTGAATGCTAGAATGTTCCAATAAGTGAAATTACAAGTTATTTATAATAATTTATAAGCAATCTATTGTAAATAGAATTAAAATAAAAAATAGTAAACTAGTAGAATTAAAAATACTAATTCTAATAAGAATAAGAATCTAATGCTAATGATATCAGGAACATTAATCCTAATACAAATAGGAAAATACTACTAAGAATAAAATCCTATGTTATTAAAATTATAATAACTAATAACATAAAATAGACTCGTAAATAATATAATATTTTGTATTTGATAGAATTACAATTATAATTTATTTGAGAAATCTAATGTTAGCCTGTTTTCTCTTGGTTGTAGAAAAATCGTATACGAATTTGGAAGTGGTGAATAATATAAAATCTTGATCTTTGAACTTCCTTATCAAAATTTAACGAACACTTTGCAGAGTTATAATCTTTAATAGCACACATGACAGAAACACATAACTTTTTAGGAGTATGAAATCTTGATGGAATGATGAAACCAACATGTTGACCAATTTATGCTTCAAGTTTATCATTGTTTTGAACATCTTTAAACCCAATTATTGGTTTAGGTTCATCTTCACATTGAACTTCCATAGGATTTTCTTTAGGCAGTGAAAGATCTTGAATAACCTTAATACTTTAACTCTTAGGAAGACATAACATTTCTTCTTGTCTCTCAACTTTGGTAGGTTCATTCTCTTTCTTTTCTTCATTGATTGCTGATACTTTTGGACGTTTATATTCGTTCTTCTTCTCTTTGGTCAGATGTTTTAAAAATATATCTCTTATGCCACATATAAAATAATAAGTTTTAGTAGTATTATCATTTTGAGTATTTCGATCATAAAGCCAATGTTGGCCTAGTGAACATCACAGAAACTACATACAAGATTAGAGTACTGCAGGTACCATGATGAATGGAAGCAGGACTTTGTTGAGTTACCAAAATGCTTGATTTATTTGTTCATGCTAGTTTGTATGCTTGAGAATGCGGTTGCGTTCAAAATTGAATCGTTCAACTGTAGATATTGAAACAAGATTTCTGCAACATTCGTCATGAATAACAAGCTTCTTATTTTTATTTCACAGCGGGCTATGGCTTTCAAAATTGAGGATGTGACATCCAAAATGTCTTTACACCCACACGTCATATCCCAACAAATCACCACCACAAATCTTCAAATCAACTACATCTTATGTAATCAAAATCATCAAAATTAGTGAACAATATATTCGGTATTCAGATTTTAATTCCACAATAACGAGAAAGAAAATCTACATCAAGGACTCGTGTTCTGTACAATTTATTATACATTTAATTCTCTCATTTTCTGTTTTCCCTAGGAGGGATCTCCCATGTAACTCTCTAGTCTCACTACATATGCAAAAACATATAATGAGCGCAATCTAGCTCAGTAAAATAAATTCAATGCTCAAATATAATATGAACACGCTTTTGGACATCCGCTCTAGGATTTCCCCACTCTCCATCCTCTTATCTCTCTCACCGTACCCCCACATTCTTTCACTCGATTCTATTCTTACTTTACCTTGAAACACTATTCACTAGCTCTTAATTCTACCACACAACCCACTCATCGACTTACCTCTGGCTACACACGCACCCCGGCCTTTTTGGCCTCACACACCCCATTTCCATCACTTCACCATCGGCTTCATTCAGCCATGCACACACACCGGCCTATTCTTGGCCATATAGGTACTCACAACGACAATGTACAGCCACTCACACATCCATCAAGTCCTCTATTGTCACGCCGACTGTACACTGCCACGACCACACACAAATATCGACTGCGCCCGACCACACACTTCGGCAGTAGTTTGCCACTCACGCACATATCGACCGTTCTCGGGCACGCACACCCTATAGTAACTTACTGCCAAGCACACACACACGTCAAGCCCTCCTGTCTGACCCTACACTGCCACACACGCACACCTGCACCATGATCGTTTACAGTCACGCGCTCCGGCAGCATACTGCTACTCAATCACACACTCGCCTCCGAGTGGCCACACCCCGATCGACTTTTTCAGAACACCTACACACACACCGGCCTACT